GTACACCTCCAAACTGTCAAAATGTACAATTTAGACGTGCATTAACGTTACGTTATTTTGGCAGAATGTTGAATGACTTATGTGTACGTGTTCAATTATGCATGTATGCATGCATGCGAATATATATAGTGAGTTTATATATAAAGTGCGCTAAAATATTTGAATCCAATAACATTGAAAATCTTCCAATTGTTCCAACAAGTATTGTCATAATATAGTTTCGTTATTTCAAGTATATTTAGTATTTTAATTGATTTTAAGTCAATTTTTATTGTATACGTTCGTTATATATTTCGTTTATTATTATTATTATTATTATTATCTTCTATATGGTAATTTAAACAAAAATTGATTAACACTTTTCGAGATTTTTGTTTTAGATCATAATTCAAATTTTATAACATTATAGTTTTTTTTTTTTTTTCTACGACCACGATTTATAAATAGATTTTTAGAAAAAGTTTTCAAATAGATGTAATTGATTTTTAAAATGACCTAGAAACTTTCGGCCGTACCCCTTTGCCAAGTAGTCGATAAATTTATTCAATTTGATCAATAATTATTTTGCGATGACAAAATGATTATGCGATAGGAAACAAAAATTAATTACAATATAATGTAATCATAATTAACACATATTCTCCGTCTGATTAATAGCATTATACGTAAATCAATAACACACGTTACATTTAATTTTCAGAATAATTTATTTATCGTTTAAATATAATCTTATTAATAACAATTGATTATATTTTTCATTGTGCATTAGACAAATTAACAACATTTTCCTGTAATATCGAATTTAACATCAAATTTGAATTTAAAATGTATAGAGATTTAAATCGATAAAATAATAATTATAAATTAATATCATTATTACAAACTATATCCTCTCTCTCTCTTATTGTAAATCTGTCATACCATTTAACAACAATAAACACGTGCAATAACAAAATCCAATTGCAACAAAAATGTAAGTGCAGAAACAAATAAAAGAAAAAAACCACATATTCGTTTTGAAAAGGTACCGAATAAATTTCTCTACTCTTATAATGCATAAATATAAAATAATTCATTAAAAAAAAAAATGATTTCTTTTGGGGGGTTTTTTTTTTCTTTTCACGAAGGATTCATTAACTATTTATTACGAAGCCGGTCGTCGTCTCTCAATAACAAGGTATACTTGCGAACGATAAATTTGAGCTGTGAATATAAATTATGCAGGAGTAACGTTACGAGCCACACGAGTTAACCCGTTCCTTGCACCATGCAATTGCATGTCTGCCCACGTAGAAAGTGGTGCAGAGCACCACCGGAGTTCTTCTTATCCAGGTATTAATGATTTCGAACAACAACTGCTCGAAGCGTTTTATATATACAAGTATATCGAGTATACTTTCGTAACTGAACTTTCATTTCAATTTCAATCTTCGAAATATTTGAAATTGAATCTCATTCAGAACATCTTCATCTACTTATATTTATTATTTTTGTTTTTCAACAATTAAATATACTTATAACAATATTATATTATTTATATATATAATATTGTTTGAAGATTTTGGAAATTATATTTAAAATTGTACAAATATTGATTTTTGTTATATCCATGATTATATTTTATTTGAATTATTTATTTTGTTTTTTTTTTTTTGTATTAATCGTCGTATTTTTATTTTTATTAATTTCCATAATTGTTATATCCCTTTTTCGTTAAAAAATAATTCATTCAATTTAGTCTTATCGATCTATTAAAATTGTTATCTTACACTTTTATCGTTTGAAATTTTCATTCTTTCCAATTAGACACTCATTTAAAATGATATTCGTACATCGTTATATCGAAATATTTCTTTAGAATTTTTTCCTCTTCTTCTTTCTTTTTCATTTATCAAAAACTCTCCTAGGTTGTTCTAAGATTTGAATTAAATTTTCTCGACAAATTTGAAGGAGAAAACGTAATTACTGTTTCGTATAAATATTCTACACACACACACACACAGACACAGCCACACATGTATATATTACGAATCTCTTTGATAATAATCTGCGTGTTGGTGCTGGTAACAGCAAAACATGCCTCGAAAAATCCGTCCCTGCCCTTTGACCCGGTTAAACCAAAATCTGTTACAGGATGCATCGACCTGCACGCGCGGCTCACTCGAAAAGTAATTTGTAGACGTTAACCAAGTCACCGTGTCACGTTTCCTTTCCTTATTTTTTTTTTCTTTTTTTCTTCTTTTTTTTTTGTGCCTTTCCTTTCTACTCGTTTTTTTTCTTTTTTTTTTTTTCTTTTTTCTAAGTTTTTCTTTCGAAAATTAATAACGCGGATTTATTCTTGCAAATAAATCTCACGCTAAGTTTGCATTTTTTTTTTTTTTTTTTTTTTTTTATCAACTTCGTAGCTTGACTACGACGATGATGATGATGATGATGATGATGATAATAATAATAATAATGATAATAATTTTATTTTGCTTTTATTCGGGGGGAGGGGTAGTGATGGGAAGGAGGAGGAGGAATAAAAAAGAAAACGAAAATTATTGAAATTAAAATTTAATTTTGCTAAAATAAGTTGTTTCTTTTTTATTTTATTTTTTTCTTCACACATATTTCTTATTTTTCTCTTAATTATTAATAATAACTATACCGTACGCGTTATTTATATCGTTAAAAAATAAAAAGGAGGGAATAAACAGTGAACATAAATTATGCGCTTTTACTTTCTCTGCAGTTTAGTGAAAATTAATTGAAAATGAAAAAAAAAAAAAAAACAAACTATAATAAATTATTAGGAATATATATATATATTTTTTTTTGTATATAGAATTAAGAATAATCAAGGAGAAAAAAATTATTAATATTTATTACAGGATGATGTAAAGAAATATAACCAAAGAAATTGAATCTTACGATTAGAATCTTACAAGGAAGTCATAAATTTGCAAACTTATGCATTCACTCGCGTACTTAATTTACAACGTTTTAACAAATCAGACACACATTACATACGGACACACGTTACATAGAGATACACACACACACACACACACACACTGTCCATCCAGGAAGATGATTTTCAAGGTAACTATGAAGTTCGAGTACTGAGACATCAAAATGATAGTACAAGTAAACCTATCGTTTTCTTGCGAGACCTATTTGAATACACCCACACGTTGTTAACTAATACCTTAGCCTTTGTAACCTCTTACAGATAATGATTTATAACATTTTAATGACGAAACGAATATCACATCGTTGTAATATACGCTATAGGCCCCTTATTAAACGTCATTTATCTTATTTCTTTCTATTATTTTTTGTTGTTTGGTTTGACTTTAAGAAAAATTCGTAAAAAAGAGTGTCGAGAAAATCAGCTCGCGTTTAAAATTAAAAAAAAAAACATTTTCCTTTATTCTCAAGTAAAAAAAATTAAGATAAATGATTTAGATAAAAAAACACGCACACACACATTTGTTTATGAGACATTTTTATGAGTACACCCCCACCCCCTCAATTTCAATTTAAATTAAATTCAACCCTTTATTTTAAATTAATATTAAATTAATATTAAAATATATCCAAGGACACCATTCGTCTCAAAGGTCAAATAAAATTCCTTTGAAATATAACTCTCGTTATTGAACATGTATAAAAAATAACAAAGGAAAAAAAAGTTATATTACTCTTTTAAGCACAATTTTTATTTAAGATGGAATTAAAATAGGGGAGAGGGGGTTATTGTTATTCGAATATAATATATTAATTGCGATTATATCCTAATATACATAAATATACGTTCAGAAAGTGTCTAAGAAAAATCCTCAAGGACACAGCCCGTATATTTTGAATAATATAAACGATGGTTAAATAAAAAAGACGCTGAACTTTAGAGATTAAGGTAACATCTAATATTTTCTAATGTATGGGTCTCATATATTTCGTAATATAAAAATAACAATAAAATAAAATTTCAAGTTGCAGAAGAAGTCCCAATAAAGGGACAAAACGTCCAACTTATCAAAACGAAGTTCTATTTCTTTTGAATGTACAAATTCCCTAAGATACATTTTTATTAATAAACGATGAGATTAATCAAGGAAAATTTTATTTAGTTTCTATCGAATTCTCTTCTCTTTCTCTCTCTCTCTCTTTCTCTCTTGGGTGTTTTCGCAGTTAGGCACATGCAAAGAAGGTATCTTCCTTCCCCCTTCTTATCGTGATGCATTTGCCAAGATCGATAGTGCATTAATGGAATACGGAAGTTGTTTCTAAATATAGGCCATCATAGGTAGGGATGAAAACTGGTGCTTCATGAAATCGAGGAGATTTTGAGTGGTGAAACGAACGAACGAACGAACGAACGAGAGAGAGAGAGAGAGAGAGAGAGAGAGAGAGAGAGAGAGTACACGTGCACGAAAGAAAGAAAGAAAGAGAGAGAAAGAGAGAGGGGGGGGGGAAAAGTAGGATGCAATGTGTGGTGTTTAAGATATATGTGTGTATGTATATGGTACAATAAGAAAAGGATAGAAAACTTTTCGAGTGCACTGACCTTCGACGAGTGCTCTAAAACCGTGTGCGAACACTGCAAACCATAGCTGCATCACCCGTTGACGATGCATTCCTCTCTTATCCTCTCCTCTCTTCTTTTCTCTTTAAACTTTCCTCCGACATGTTGCAATAACACTTGCAGTTTGCTTGCTTGCTTGCTAACTTGCTTACTGCAACCTCGTGTTTTGTTTTTAACCTTTCTCTTCTTCTTTCTATTTCATTCGTCTTCTTCTTCTTCTTCTTCTTCTCTATTTTTTTTTTAGTTCTCTCTCTTTCTCTCGTAGATTTTTTATTTATCGCATTAATCAATCCATCGTTTTCCTTTCCATTTGGAATTGATTTATTTTGTTCTCTTGTTTACTTACGTGTTTGCTTAAACTATTCCGATTTCATAGAAATGATCCTTTTTATTTGCCTCATTTTTTCTTTCTTTTTTTTTGTTATTGCAGGTCGAGGCCGGTGACGTCATACTCAGGGTAAACGAAGTCGATGTCAACCGATTTAGTACTAAAGAAGGTAACGTATACTCTCATTTTAAAAAGAAAAACCGATTTAATTATTCTCCGTCTGTTACATTTGTTTAAATAAGTATCTTCAAAGATATACGTTTCACGATTACGTTTCTTCAATCTTACGTATGTATTATTTTCTTTTCTCATTACTGATTTATCGTCTCGTTTTATCTCGTTCTCTTTCATTCGATTATTCATGTTTTTTTTTTTTTTTTTTTTTTTTTTAATGAATCGCGTGAAGGTATTAATCTTCGGAGTGAAAATTTCGTTTCATTGAGCGTGCTCATATAAAAAAAAAAAAAACACTGCATTATTACGTAAGAAAAAATATAATCGAACCTTTACGTGCTCCGATATGTTACCCCCACCACTACCACCAGTTCGTTTACGAATACTTTTACGTGTTACTTACTATTACCGTGATATAATTCAACTCTTGCAACGATATATTATTATACATCAGTAAAAGAAAAAAAAAAGATAGATGAAAGGGTTGAAATAATCAAAAAAAAAAACAACACCTCAATTAACCATACCCCCCATTCGAAATTTTTCTCTTTCGTCTTTCTCTTTGCCTCCCCCCCCCCACTCCTCATTATTTAACGAGTTTTCTCACGACTATCGATAATATTATCGATTATTACGACTTTCATTTCCGACTCTAGTTTCTCGTTAATGTGAAATTGTCTTTTTAATAGTCTCGAAATGTCATCCCGGACTTCTCGTCCGATGGCTTCCTATTTCTTTCCCTTTCCAAGCTGCTTTATTCATAATTAATTTGTTATTGTTGATGTTTTAAATTGAGCATTAGAGAGATATCAAATTAAACGTATAATGACGATTGAAATAGTACTCGACAACACATTGGAAAACAGAATACGTAAGGATTTATTTGTTATCATCTAACTGTCGTGATTTTTTTCTGAAGAATCTCTTCAAATTTTCGATTTATCTGAAATGTTTCATTTTTCGATTGAATATTCATTGAAAACAAAAAGATAATTAATTCGATTTAATATAAACGTAAGAATTAAATATTTTATTTGTTGTGTGTATTTTATATAAATTAATATTTTAATTATTATAATTCGTAATTTGTATATATATATAATCAGGTTTTTATTGCACAATTTACAAAGTTTTTTACAATGTCTTATCATTATTTCACTTATATTTATCTTACATTTTTGATTTATTCTCAACTAACTCACCCCTCAGCTACCAATAATTAACAACAATCTTAAAATTAAACTATCTCGTAATTTTGATATTCATTGTATTTTATTTTTCTCATTTTTCGTATTTACTTATCTATTTGTTTCTTTTTCTCATTTTTCTTTTTTCATCAAGTATAGACACGATTTATGTCATCTTGTCAGTGAGTATTCATATAACAGTATAAAGACAATTAATTTGATTTTAAACGCAGAAATTGGTAATTTATCTTTTATTATACACGTCATTCACACTATTTCTCTTTTCATGATGAATTTGTATTTTATTTCTCTCTTTCTCTCTCTCTCTTTTTCTTCTATTTAGAGATTATGTCATATCATTTATCTCTCATTGTCAGTGAATACTCGTACTAAAATGATTCATTTGATTGAAATCTAATGAAATTTTGACGCGTCATCGAACCAATTAAATGATATACGAAACTATATTTTACAATGAAAGTTTTTTT